AATACAAAGTAATATGTAAATTGTGATTAAGACAAACAGGAAGAGACAATGTCTGTGCTGTGTATGGCGGGTGTGTATCTGTTTGTGTGTGTGTGTGTGTGTGTGTGTGTGTGGGGGAGGGGGGTGTTCACACCCATTCACTGCCTCACAAAAACAATAATACCTCACTCCTGTTTGTGAGGTAATTTCTTTCCAAAAGACACAAAGACCGAGAGAGTACAACGAGGCACCTGTAACTAATTGTCACTCTAATGAGGGATTCACAACCTGAATCATAAGAATAAAGAAATGTACAGTACAGCTGGTGATATCAGACCTCAGTTCAGTTATTCAGCCATAGTGATACATTTCTGTAAATTTAAGAATGCTTTTATTTGTGATGATTATTTATAATACAATAATAATACAATATAATACAATATCTCATCTAATTTGTTGAATAATGTACTGAAAGTGAAAAACATTTACCCGTCGTAAAGTCAAAATATCATAACATGGACCATCGTAACCCAGGGAGTGTCTGTAATGACTGACTGAGATCAAAATCATGCTGTCATTCCTTTTTATGGATGCACCATGCAAAACAGAAAACTGAAGGAACTAATTTTTTATTTTTCCATAATTACATCATTCCTTTTGCTCAAATGTTAACTGCATATCACATATATTTTTACATAATTAGGAAATTGTCTTGGTCTGCCAAATCTGGTTTTAGCGGAGTTTAGGACTATGGATGTCAGGACTAGGAGGGAAAAATCTTGGCTCTACTACAGTGGCTCGGAACATGGCTCAGTATGCATATGCAACATTTTGGATAATCTAGGAAAATAAGATACCCACTTTAAAGTGGAGAGTTGCCAGCAATTCATGTCATCAAACTTCACTGTGACATGAGAAAGAGTAAATCTAAAAAAGGTTATTGATCTTCCATTTATTTGTGTAAGCCAAATAATATGTGTTTGCCTTGGAGAATTCAATTTGATATTTCAAATCGTACATCTTGTCACCTCTTCCCATGAATGGGAAATAACTGTAATTAATACTAGATGCGGAAGTGTGAATTAGGCATTGCATGCATAGATCAAAATATGTAAATAGCCTATAGTCATGAAAATGCAATATGACATAATGGTGTTCCTGCTTGTAACTCTATAAAAAGAAGGATTTGAAGGGAATGAGTTTTCAAGGACTGCCAAAATTATTTTTACTTTTCTACTTGTTTGGACTTTGTGTACTGTCTTTGCACTTTGCCTGTTTTGCATTTGAAGTACAGTATGTTAATCTATTCTACATACCATGCTGCTGCATGCTCAAGAATTTCCCCTGGGACCATTAAAGTTTATCTTGTTATCTAATTTTGTCCAGGATGGTGGCTGTTTTCTTATCCGATTTAGGCTTCTAAGAGCCAATCTTTTGCAATTACGTGCTGGTGTGGGCCCAGCATTAGGAAGACTAACTCGGGCTGCAGCTGTACATATACAGGTCCTGACTATGCTTGGCTTTATGGTAACAGGCACCTACCAACTGAAAATGGCAAACAGATGGTGGATATCCCGCACAACCATCAGCTCCTTCACACCTAATGTAATTGGAGCAATCGACTGCACTCACATTCTGATAGGGCACCTAATGCAAATGAAGCTGCTTTTGTCAATCGAAAAGCAGTTTCATTCTATTACTGTGCAATTCAATTGTGACGCCGATATGGCATTAGAAAATATCGTAGCTTGATTGCCTGGGTTCAATTCATGATTCATTAATTTTGAGTTCCACGTACCACATCACTATCTCCCAACTGCTCAGACAGGGCACCAAATAATAGGGGTTCCCTATTACAGATGCTATACGCATGTTGAAGTTTAATGCCGCAAATGTGGTTTTACCCCAAACAGTTACAGTTGCACTGGCCCTGTGCACAGCATGCTGTTTATTTCCCTCTATTTTCTGATCTGCCCACTTCTTCATGTTGGGCATAATGCGTTCTGTAGAGAAGTTCCTGCAGTGGTGATGTGTTGCTGTTGACCTTTTCTTGTTTGTGATACCAGTGCTTAGACCACCAAATATAACATTTTGTCATGTATCTACCTCTGATAGGAGCAACTCAACCTCACATTGTTCAAGAATCTTCTTAGCTTTTTTATATATTACTTACAGTTGCTATCATGAGATTTTGAAACAAAAAAGCTTGATTTGTGTATTACAGTATATGAGCATGCAGCTCATATGCATTGTCTTATGTCCTGCCCGTCATGTCTGCCTGACCCTCCTTTCTCCTCCTTGAAGTGGCCTCGATGAGCTACGGCTCTTGCTTGTTACCTTGTTAGTCTTTGTATTTAAGTAGCTGTGTATCTCAGCCACAGTCTGCTCAATGACATCACTCGTCTTGTCTGCTCGTGTCCATCCCCGTACTAACCTTCTCCTTTTGACCCATCGCTGTCCCATTTGTTTTCCAGCCCCTTTTCTCTCAGCACCTGCCCTCGAGTCCTTTAGTTTTCAGTCACGAAAGAATGACAGGACCTCCCAAAAAACCCCAGCAGCCTGCACCCCTACTCCAGCTTCCATACCTCCCTGCATCCAGCATGCTGGATACCCTGACTGCCTCAAATGTGAGGACTAAAGAGGTTACCAGTGCTGTGGGAGCCACCCCACCTTCAAGCTGAGGACTTCTTCTCCCTCCTTGGTTCCCACCTGGAGTGCAGTAGTAATCCCATGGTCTGGAGGATCCCCAAGGCTGAGGATCTCTTCCGGGATGCAGGGAAGGTGCTAGTGAGACTCACCCCGCATGTGAATCCCCAGGAGGCAGAGAAGGTTCATCACTTATTAGCCGACATGCGGTGGATAGTTTAGCGTGAGACCACTCAACCTGCCGCCTCACCACCGCGTGAAACTGTTCAACCTGCCACCTCTCCGCAGCACCCGCTGGTTGGAAAAGCAGAGTATGCTGGCCGTGCCCATGGCTGCTGCCTCTAGAGCATGGTCCAGGAGAGGCCACTGACCAAAATTCTGTCCTTGCCTTCGATGCACCCAGAAAGGGCCACTCTACTCGTGCTCTAGGCGCCTGGTCCAGAGAGGGTCACTCCGACTATGCCCCAGGCTCTCTGCCCAGAGAGGGCAGTCCCCAGTCTCACAGCAGCCATGCTGTCCCGCAGGGAAACCCAGTGGTCGCATCCGGTGTCTCAGCTGTACCCAACTCGCTTCCAGGTTTCCCGGCTGCACCCTACTTGTCTCCAGGTGTCCCATCAGCTCCAACCTCATCTCCTGCTGTCCCTTACGCTCCTGCCTTGTCTCCAGGTGTTCCGTCAGCACCCACCTTGTCTCCATCGTGTCTCACTGGTGGTCTCCTCATCCCCTGCAGGTTTATGCCCAGCCGATGCCCAACTCCACCATCGCCACCGGGCTGATGCCTGACTCCATGGTTGCCACCAGGCCGGACTGAGTTGACCCAGAAGATGCCCTGCTGGAGGACTTAGAATGGGACTCTCTGGGCCTTGTCATAAGTCCCACTCTGCCTCGATGGCCTCTGCCTCACCGGTGATCGGACTCAGGAGGGTCCGCGTCCCGGGGTCTAGCTCCCAGGGGTCCAGAAGATTTCCAGGATGTTTCCCACTTCCTCCGGTCAAGCCTTGGTCCCTGTCCTGCCTTAGTTTTGTCCTGGCCTGTGTCCCCTGTGACCCTCTGTTGTGTTTCCATCCCTGTCACCGTGGCTTCTCTACCTGTCCGCCCTGTCCAGGTGTGTCTTCTTGGGTGTCCTTTCTGCTGTTCCTGGCTTTGCCTTGGTCTGCTCCATGCCCTTAATTATGTCATGTATCTTGTTCTGTGTGCTGGGTTTTGTCCTTCTGGTGTGTCCAGGTGTGGTTTATTCAGTTTGTCTCAGTCTCTCCTGCTCCCTGTTGATGTTTGGCATTTGTCCCTCTGGTTCCTGGTCTGTTCCTGGTCCCCGGTTCTGTTCCATGTTTAATCTGTCTTCCTTGTTGTTCTTTTAGTCCAACCCTTGCCTGTTCCATCTCCTTTATCGTGCTGTGTATCTTGTTACATGTACCCTGTTGGTCCTACCGTGATCTGTACTGTCTCCGGCCCTGTGTGTGTTCACCCTGGTGTCTGGTCCCCTTCCCTGTCTGATCTTCGTGCCCATAGGGTACGCCTCGGGGGGGGTACTTTTACATCCTGCTTGTCATGTCTGCCTCACTCTCCCGTCTCCTCCATGACGTGACCCTGATGAGTCACACCTGTTGCTTGTTACCCCTTGTTAGTCTTTTTAAGTACCTGTGTGTCTCATCAGCCCCAATCCAGTCATTGATGTCATTCCTCTTGTGTCCTTTCCCATACTCGCCTTCTTGTTTTAACTCTTCATGGTCCCGGTTGTTTTCCAGCCTCTGTTCGGATTTAGTCAGATAGAGCCCCTTTTCTTTCTCCCAACGCCTGTCCTCATTTGATAAAAATGATAAAGATTTAAATGATTCAGAACAATTGCTGTATTTTTATGATGATTTTAGTATGGTTTGAATTTGATGAATAGGCAAAGTTATGGTTTGCTATTGTCTGTGCTGATAACAAATAGTTGTTAATAGGCAGATTAATGAAGTAGAGATCTTGTCCCCTCTTTTCCCCCTACTCCACACCCTTGGTAAAATTCAAATCCCATAATTTGTATGAGATATTAAACTAAAGGTTAGCAGAGGGGCAGTCCCATTCATGCACTGTGAGAAAGCTGATTGGATCTCCCTGAATGTGTCGACATATTAAGCCTTTTCAAACCTAATTCTGCGAAAACCAACCTTGTGTCAGGGTGTGAAAGTGCTCATATGGAAGATGCCATATTACATATGGCTTTGGTCACACCTTATTACACTCGCTCAGCATGGCAACAAACACACATTGTGCCCCCCTATGTAACTAGGAATCTGGAGTTGTAAGCGAACATGGAAGAGGAAGCCAAACATAGCATTTTGTTCAGTGGAGCATCGTGTGACTAAGTAAGCTGGTCAGAAGATCAAACCCACCTCCCCAGGTGGTCATCTCCTTGCTGGCAGTATTTGCACACTTGAGATTCACAGCTAATAGGATGTATATGGCTGAGTTTTCTGCAAGGGAAGGGACCAGGCCATGTTATATACAAACCCAATGCTCAGAGACTGTTTTTTGCTTCTATAAGCAGGAACCATTTCTCAAAGTTACTACTTTTGTTCTTGTTTTTATTCTAGTTTACTGGTGCTTAAAAGAAGTGGTAAATATGAATTCAGTGCTTTAAGAACCATCCATAACACAATAATGCTTCATAATTATAATATATCACGTTTTTAACAACTACATTTGTCTAATTCGATTTTTTTGGCATTACGGCTGCGTTATAATAAAGTAAATAATACAAAATATAGTGTAATAAAGAAACACTGTACTGTGAAATTGTGTGAGAGTACAATTAACATATTCAAGGATTTGGGTTTCTGTAGACATTGGGGAATCGTATATCTTACCTTGGAAAGCTGAAAAATGGTCACATCCTTTCAACTTCTTGTCTCTCTAGCTGGACTTGGAAGATCACACAACCGGGGGAAGGGGAGGACAATACTTTTGAAACATCATCGCTTTTACCCTAGCCCCTCGTTTACATGTCAACCTGCCTTTTGGTCCAACGTGGAGATTGACAAAAGGTAAAGACAATGTGTTGTGATCCCTTTCTCAGCTCATGTGTAGAATGGTTCAAACATTCCTCAGGAAAACAGTATATCACCTACACAACTTATTGCTACTATTCCCTGCTATCTTTATGATAGGTAGAACTCCCACCACGGCTTGTTTCTGCAATGTTCTCCCTGGTGACACCACAGCAGGATTGTGTAAGAGATTAGACTGGATCTTTGCTCCCTGCTGACGTTTAATGTTGTCTGTTTTAGTCCCTCTCTATCTCAGTCCCATTGAAGCATTCAGATTACATTCTTTTTCTGTCCAAGGTGCCGCTGACTTATTATGTAGGATGCTAAAGGATTCTCTGTGATCCATTACTGCTTGGTGAAGGTTTTCTTTTGCAAGGAATATGGTTCAGTCTCCATTACGCTACATGATTTTTATTGTAATATTAATGACTGCAATCTTATGGATTGTATGACTTCCTTTTTTCATAAAACCTAATCTACAATTAATGGAAAACTAGTTATGTCTATGTGTGGGTCTGTATACACTGTTGATGCATGCTTCTGCATGTACATGTTAGGCTGTGGGATGATAGCGGTCAACAGCTTACCCTGGTGGTCTTGATCTTGTTACCAGATGAGCACATCCAGCCGGAGTTGTCTGGGAGAGTCTTGCACTCCTCTCCCTCCAGACAGGGCTCCATCTCACACCACCACTTCCCAATCACGATGGACGCTGCGGAAGCACAAGTCCGAGGGCATCACGATGGCAGAGTAATGTCTTTGTGCACAACAGGCCCACACCATCGTACTAATGGCTAAGCTGCCATTATATCGAGGTAATGCATTATGGGAAACAGAAAAATTAAGTGTTGTACTTGTTATGGGAATATTAATTCCTGCTGTTTTGCCCTAATGTTGCAGTGACCAGTGAAAGTCATTTATATAGCTTTTCCTGGAAACTTTGTTGATATATCATGTTCAGATTATTTAAAACAATTTTTCTAATTATGGGCCTCATTGAACTGACCAATCCATGACCTGCAGTAGAACTGATTGGGAGGAATTCGTTTGGTGGTAAATGACTCTTAAGTTGCTCAAGTAATTCCCTGGTGGGTGCTTTTTGCAATGACTAACTTGATAACAAATGCAAATTCAGTTTTCAAAATTCAAATCAGCCTGGCAAGTTATCAGTCAGATTGTTAATGTAATATACAGTATTCAGAGATGGACTATACTTGCAATAGTGCTAGCTTGGCTGTTTGTGAAGCTACATAATAACTTATGTTTCTATCTATCTATCTATCTATCTATCTATCTATCTATCTATACACACACGTGCGCACACACACACATTTATGGACAAAAAAAATCTTAATGTTGTACAAAGCTTCATGTTAATGTGAGTATGTGCTGCTTTTGTTACGGAAGTTCAGTTAAAGAATTCTTACATCAGCTTCTGTCTGTTTTGTCCTTGTTAAATCACCCAGCTTTTTAGCTGGGTGATTTTACAAAAAACTGTTCTTGAAAAATGCACTTTAAATTGAGGCTCAGAATAGGGCCATTTCTCAGTGAGAGGGTTTAACAGGGTTTAACATGTCTTCATTTGTCAGCCGATGATTACTGGCAACACATCCTGTGTACTAAGCAGACAGGTAGAGTCTTCCCTGGAAATCGGTACAGATATGTAGCACCTGGACAAAGGAGTATATACTTCTTAAACAAAGGTACATTAGCAGTCAATGTCATATAGATCACAGCCATGTGATGTACATGCTTCTGAGAAGGATGGATTCTGAATTGGTGGTAGCCAACCAATGTCCTCCTCGGCTCTTATAACGATTGATTGTCAGGGTGTCTAAGTGCAAAAAGAGACAAGGAAACAAAATTTCAATTGAATGTTTTTTTTTTTTAGTACACAGTTAAAAATATTTGTAATTCTCATGATGTAGAAACATTGCCCAAAAAAACCCTGCAGTACATTAAATTTAATGAACAAAGGAAGTTTTCTGTTGAGTTGGGAACCCAAGAATTAGTCCATCATTGCAGACCTCTCCCCATCTTATTCCTGCTAACTGATAGGTGGGAAAAAAAACAAAACATACAAATGAAACTCTGTGCTTGTATGTGTGAAGTTGCATATATCTAGTGTGACTGTATACATTAATCTAAATTGGAGAAAGACAAGCTTCTCCCAATGCTGCCTCATTCCATCCTGATCTGAAGGTCCTTTAGTACAGCTTTTGTAAGCAAACATATCTACTTTTACATAAAGATATTTTATTATCAGTCTTCTGATATTTTTAGCAGAATTAGCTCAGTATTAATTTAGTGATCATACAGAATGTGTTTATACATTTGTTATTGCTGGTGCTCTAATTTGTGGAAAGGTTTAGCCCGAATACAGCTTGGGTTGAAAATGAGTTTGAGGCTTACGGTGTCTAAATCAGTATGTATATCTGAGAGATATGCAAGATTTGTCAGTAAAAAAGTTGCTAAAGTATGCAAGAAGGAGAGCTGTTATACGACCTGATTTACATTCTGGGTTGACGTGGAGGCTCAGTGTGAGAGCATGTTTCCCATTGTCTTGTGAAAATCTTCCTGAATTTCAAAGGTGTGCACTCAGGCTAAGTGGTGTATCTAAATTTACCATAATGCATGATTATGTGTGTGTAGGTTAGGTATATATTACATTGTGGGGACATTTGGTCCCCACAATATAATAGAAATCTGTTATTTTGACATTGAGGCGACCGTTTCTTCAGCCCCCACAAGGGGAATCTCAGTCTTGGTTGCTGTGACTGCAATCAAAAAACTAAAAGTGCCAAAATATTTTGTTTAGTTACTTATGGTTAAGGTTAGGGCTGGGTAGGGGTTAAGGTTGTCATTGTTGGGATTAGGGTTGTGTGTGTGTGTGTGTGTGTGTGTGCGTGTGTGTGATGCTGGCATCCCATCCAGGGTGTACCCCAGCTTGTGCTGCCTTGCATGAGCTCCAGGCCCCACTGTAACCCTGACCACGATAAAAGTTTGCAAGATGGATGAACTAACTCCTGCTACTCCAGTATTCAAAAGACCAAATAACTTAAAATGCACTTGAAAACAGAACTCATATCAGTTGGGTGCATTTTTAAAAGGAGTTCACTAAGAGCATTTTCCTCATTGAGCTCCATCAGTAGGATGTTTCATCCTTGAAGGGAACATTCAGGACTGGACAGAGGTTACGAGCTAAGCTACAGAACAGAAGAAGAGAGATCCTTCACGGCTATCAAAATGGATGCAGATGACCCCCTCACTCCATCAAAGTGCACTTAGGTACAGAGCACAATCTTGTCCCATTTGTGCTTTCTGAAGACCTTCCGGAGCTGCAGGAGGGCTGGGCAGACGGCTGTGGTTGACTTCTTAATGCTTTCCAAGTTTAAATTTTAATTTCCTCAAAAAAAAAAAAAAAAAAATCCAGGCACCCGCCGTCTCTCTGTCTGCATGGCACTGTCTGCCTGGCCTGTATTGTCCCAGTGCAGCCAGAACCAGATTAGATATTGAACATTGTGTGTGATTGCTTTCAACAGCTGCCCCTTCTCTGGTGTCAGTTCGCTTACAAAGCTTAAAAGCAGTTCAATAAGCCAGAAAAGAAGCATCCCGGTCAGAATCAGACATGGTTACGTATTAACCAGGAAAATATGGGAGTAGTCTGAAATTCAGCGTGACTTTCTCTGCTGCTTTCTATGTGACATGCGGCGCCTGATGATATTCTCCATTCAGAAGACTGTAGGCATTACAGTAAAATTAGTCCCACCACACACATCTCAGAAAGTGACAGGAGGCACTGCCTGTGTGCTTTGCAAGGTTTCTAAGGTTCCAGCTGACTGAAGGGCAGATGACTAAGTTTTAAGATGCATAAAAAAGAATGTTTTTGTAAAATGTCTTTAAGCTGTCTGTACAATGGTTGTGCACTGCTTTATTTACTGACAGATATCCCCAGAAGGGGTGGCTGAGACACATTTTCCTAGTTTTCTTTGTTATTTGTACCACATGAAACCTTAATAATTTCTGAAGAATTTCCCCAGATTTTGGGTAACCTGGGTTACAGGATAACTATTAATCAATAGCAGCCCTCTCCAATCACTGGCAGCCTTATGCACCTCTTCTCTTACCTGTATAAATAGCAAATAAAGCTTAGTTTCATTTAATTGTGGGACACAGGACATATTCCGAAGAGAGGGGATAGCCATAAATCCGGTGTGGCAGGAGCGTTTTTTGTGGGGGGGGAGGGGGGCTAAGGGCTTTTCTCAAGAGCCCAATAGTGACGCGACTATTCAGGATTTGAACTGGAAACTGTCCGATGACCCAAAGAGCCACATCCCACCCAGACAACAACACACAGGCATCCTTGTAAGGTGCAGGAGTGCTTTCTCTTCCCCAAAGTAAGGTTTTTAGTTTGGAATCGAGACAATACCGTAATAACATGTCTTGACATTTGTCTAAACAGTGAACAAAGTGCCCTAAGCACACACTTCCGGAACGGAAAGATAATACAAACATCATCAGTTTTGAAGTCCTGAGAGTAACTGAATTCTGCACCATTTTAAGACGCAGAGTAATTACAATGCATGGCTGTCTCACATATCTTTTTAGAAATGTCCTCTACGCATGTTTCCTGGAGAGACTCAGGTGTATTGTCAGGTCTGTTTTTCAAAAACACCGCAATTTACACTAGACATGTGCATGGCAGAGGCTCTGCAGTCCCCAGACCCACTACCTGACTCTGCCCTAACTCAATGCTTTCCAAGTTTAAATTTTAATTTCCTCAACAAAAAAAAGAAAGAAAAAACAGCATCAGCCGTCTCTCTGTCTGTGCTTGGCACCATCTGCCTGACCAAGACCTCCTGCTCAATACAGCCAAAACCCAGAAACTCATTATTGATTAGCAATGCATGCAAAGCCCTAAAACACCTTTACAAATAAACAGAGATCCCATCACTGCTACTGACTCCTTTAAAATCCTCAGAACATCATTTAGCAATAACCTGAAATAGAATTCCAGCATTGAATACATCATTTGAAAAGCTCAAAAAAGAATTTACTTCCTTAGGCAGCTTAAAAAGTATTGGAATAAGCATCAGCATCTTGTTCTGTTCTACTCCACTATTAATGAGTCATTACATCTTCTTTGTAGTATGGCATGGCAGCTCAGACAGTTAAACGCAGAAAAAAGGATTGAAAATAAGGCATCCAACACCATAGGCGTGCTGAATGTCTACATATTCACTAGACATTAAAGCGAGCAAAGATCATCTCTGTGTCAGGGTCAGCTCCTGTTGTGTCCTTTTCCCCGTTGTCCTAGTCTGTAGGGTTTCCCCCGCTCCCTGTCGGCCGCATGACTCAGTGAGCTGAGTATGTGGTTATCTGTTAACCCCTCTGTTGTGTGTTTGAATCCCACCTCCTCTGTTTTTGCATTTTGTTCCCTAGTGTTTCATTGTATGAGTTTTACTAGTTCCTGTGTCTTCTGATTTGTGTTTGGTTTCGTTCTTTGTGCCCATGCTTGCCTTTCTACCTGTCTGTTATTCCCCCAGTGTTAGATTTGTTTTCCCTATTTCTTTAGTTCTTAGTTTTAGTTCCTTGCATTAATTAGTTCCACCTGTTGCCTGTCCCTGTTCCTGTCCTTGTGTGTTTTCCTGATTGCTCATTGACCTTCATCCTCCCCTATTGGATAGGTGTCTGCCTCACTCCTGCTGTCTC